ATGAGTTGGAAAATGATGTGAATCGTATGCTGTGGTCTTCACCCTCATCAGGTCTCAGCTCAGTGAAAAGCTTTAAGGGTGATTTCGGACAGACATGTTAGACAGCCCTCTCTCCACCACCTTCATAGAAACACCAGTGACTTAGAAAAATGGTATTCTATTCCTCCTGTGAAGCTCTACCTAAACTGTGGTGGTGGCATGTGGTGACCTAACACATCGATTAGACACTTGATTTTTCCTTCAATTTGCCACGTGTCTACAAATATTGTTAAGCTGTTAGCTTCTTTTATCAATTTAATAACAGAACCACTATTCTCACCTAAGATAGTCAAGTATCCATACTATACCAAGACAGTTTTGGGGTCCAGTGGTTACAAAATAAGACGCTAAATGGCCTGCGTATAATAACCTGACTGGGTAGTGGCACTGTCTGCTACACTGCAGCACCTACTGTGACTAAATAAGGAGACTTCCTCATGCCTACTTTATTTTCATTAACCAATAATGAAATAACTTTAATGTTGACTCACAGATAATATGTAATATAACTCATAATTGGACATTAAATGTTACTTGGTTTTAGCTTCAGTACTTGCACAATAAAATTGTGTCTTAAATAGGCTCAAATATATCATCAAGCCTTTGGGTTATAACCCAAGTGCTGTGTGCTTTTGTTTACAAATGTTATCTAGCTTCATACAAATAGCTTTGGCAGTTGTCTATGTTGTTACGTGATACCTTTGACAACTGATTTTGCATTTCATATAATCCTTACATGATTATCAGCTTATTAAATTAAATAGTTTATTATATATTATGCATGGCATATGCTACTTATGAAATCGCCTACCTTTGCAATCAATTACCTGCAAATAGAAGAAGCTTGCCTCCCAGGTTTTTGCCAGACAGTTTGAACAATAACATTTTTAAATGATCATGCTCTAAAGTTAAACTAGTCATGCAGCAGTTTTGTCTCTTATTCTAACGAAACTGCGACTGAAACTGAACACCTTAGGGTGCGCATCACCTTCATGAAGTGCACCCAACAGGGCAGGCGGGCTAATGTCAGGATCACTGCTCTGTGTGCAGTTCAGTTTAATGGAATCAAAATTTAATTAACGCTGCCTATTTAAAATATTTTGAGCAAAAATTGAGCATACAATATATAATTCATGAAGGCACTACTCACACAGTCTAACTGCATGAAAATTCATGCAGTCGAACTTCATTAGGGTGCATTAATTTTAGTTTCTATAAAGGTATTGAATAGAGTGGCGGATGAGTACAAATTTGATTTTCAAATTATTCTGAGCTGCTGTATCATTAGTTATTCTACAGGGTACAGAGCATTTAGTTATTTGTGACGATCTATCATGGCACATTACCACAATGGGCACAAATTGACCATAGTTCTCAACTATAGTTGCACTGAGTAAATTACCATGCCATTATTGAAAGTAATATGGCAGATAGAAGTTACAGATGGCTGTCACATTATAAAGTCAGAGCGCAGTACCAGAAGTAAGTCTGCCTGAGTCTAGTTGCCGTGGGGGGGATTTGTGGGCATCCATCAGCACTAACTGGAAGTGACAGTGTGCAGAGAGGTCCTAATTACTGTCTCACTTGACTAATTGTCGCCTCTGAAGAATGTATTCCCCACTGAGATCCCACCTCATTGACAATACTGCTCAAGACATATAGACCAGGGCTGCCTTCCCCGCGCTCAAAGGAAGTGTCCACAAATGGGAAATGTAAACACAGTACACTGCGAACTCAGTGCTACTGTCGCTGACAAAAAAAGAACAGGTTCAAATCATCTTTGTGAGTTCCAATGAAGAAAGAGTATGTGTTCCTTGTAGGGGCCCTTGTGTGGCTCACCAAAGTGTTAGTTACAGTCATCACGGAACAATGTGCTGATGAATTGAGACCATTGTTGCCTTTCTGGAGCCAACCATGTTAAAATAACTTGGGGTATTCAAAATAATGCTGTAGAGATGAGTCTTTAGTGCTGGGCTACTAAACTGAATGAATGTCTTCTCTTTCAAGGTCTTACCATTCAAAGTGCATCAGCTTCTCGTTTCCATGGTTTCCCCTCTCTGCGCCAATGCTATCTTTCCACCACTATGCCTGCGCGGGAGAGAGCGAGAGGGGGAGAGAGAAAGCGAGGGAGAGAGAGAGAAAGAAAGAGAGAGAGAATGACAGAGGGCTTTCAGCAGTGGTTATCTCTCCTTTGCATAAAGTCCCCTTTGCATTACTCAGTGCATGAATGGCGTTTGAATAAACACACCAGCCAGCTCATATGGAACCCTCCACGGGTTACAAGCGAGTGGGTGTGTATAAACTCATCTAATTTGTGGTCTTCTTCAAAAATGACAAGGTTTGATCATAGATGGAAGAAAGTACATTTCCCAAATGGCACAAGGGTATTTTCCTATTAGTCACAACAAGCTAAAGGAGCAAGAGTCATTTAACATCATAATGTGGCAATTATTTGATATTCCCTTCTCCTTTCCCCTTTTATAACTGGTTCACACACAGTTATCTCCACCTGAGCGGCTTTCAGGGAAGTGAAAAAGGGTGTTAACCTGAGACATCTAATTGAAAACGAAGATCAAGATCAACACAGAAAGCATTAATCTAGTGCAGTGGAAATTGTATGTTTGCCCATGCATTCCCTGTGTTCGGGCTTAAAATATTATTTAGATTCTTGATTAGAAAATTAAGTCGCAATCATTTCTTGCTGCATTAATTTGCATGCATTGAGTGAGGAGGTACCTGAGGACTTAACGCATTTGCAACGCCTTAGTATTAGGCCAGAGGGCGCTTTAATTTTAAAAGGAAAACAGCGTGCCTGTCAGTTGATGTCTTCTCTCGGAGCTCAATAAGCATTCCTTTCATGCTGTGTGAAGCTCTGCTGACTTATATGGAAACCCTGAATTTCTCCATAATTATGCTAATGGTCCAGATGGTAGCATCACGAGTGCCATTCTCTTTGATATTCTCACACTGCAGAGGGCTGGTGTGCAGACCCACGCAAACCAACACACGCTCAAAGTCAGTGTTCACACCACCTACTTGAGCCCATGTAAATTAATTCGCGGATCCTTTAGCTGAAAAAAGCCCACTCGTCACTATTAAATGCATGTGCTTGTATTTGTTTTGGGGATTTGGCAATTCTTGTAAAGTACAATAGAGTCGCACTTCAACAAAAGGCGGGTGTAGGTGTCAGTATCCTTTATTTATCTACACATTTGCTCATGATTTACTACGACTTTTACAGTCTAATAAAAAGAACAATAAACGGCGATGTGAGTGCACTTCAAGAACATTTCAGTGACATTTGTGAAGGTTGAAAAAAAAAAAGCATGCCAAGGTCATACACTGTAAGGCCATGAATAAATATTCCAGCGAATTTTATTTTAGAGTCCCCCCCCCCTTTAACCACACACTCGCGCACAAACATACACATACGCGCGCACAGGCCAGCCATTCACTCACTCGAGCCACACAATAACTGTGTTCATCCAGGCTTGGACTCTGGTGGCGCCCATCAAAGAGCTCCTTTCACATCTCCGTGGGGATTAAATGGGACCTCCACCCTTTCTGGGCGGCTGTGCGCCGTTCTACCTATACCTCCAGCTGATGCACTGGCCCATGAAGAACTGCCCATTTAGGGCGGATGCTGATAAGGTGCATGTAGTGTTAAATCAATAGCACAGGCCTATACGCAAGAGCGGCAGATATCCATCTTCTCGGTGCAATGCATAGCATAGGATAGAGGCTGTTTTTGAACCCGTTAATCAGATAGAAACGCGATATGCTCAGCAGATATTGGATGTCTTTCCCCGTGAAATTTAACCAGCGGTGGAGTCTTTGTGTGTATGACGCACACACCTTCACTTCGGAGGATGGCTCGCACTTGAGAACAGTCTGTTGCTGGAAGGCTTTCAAGTCTAAAGTGGAGTTATTTGCATAGGTTAAATATTCGTGCCTTTCAGCAGCTTCTGTCGATATTACGGATTTGCTGTTCTGCCAATTTTAATTCCTTTCATTCCACTCCTCCCACATTTCTGGAATGATGGTGAAAATTGTCGGAAGGTTGATGCTTGAAATCCCGTAAAAGAGCTTCTGAAAGGGAAGTCACGAATGACAAAACACAAAGTGGGCCCACATATCCCACTGGGGTGCAAAGGGGGAGGTGGGGGATCAGTGCAAAGCTATCCTGCTGACATCACATCGCTTGTGCACGGTGCATGGCCATTTAGAGCGGTGTATAAGCTTTACAGTGTTTTCTTTATCTGCCGAATTCAGCAAAAATACCTGAAGTGCTAAATCACTGCTGGTTGTTTGAACCCTGAGTGAGATTGCTGCTTATTTCTTTGACTAGACTGTCTCTGGCCGTGGTGCTGAAGAGAGATCAAGCGGAAACGTACTAATCGAGTGTTAAATAGAGTTAACATTTGCCCTTTATCACATGCCACTTCGGTTACAAGATAATTTAATTTGATCAGTGGCATAACTTTGTTTGATAATTATATAGTCCAGAGCCTCCTGTCTCAGATTTACTTTGCCTTCATGGGTGCATTCAAACCTGGTAGTGATTTGAACTGGTTGCAAAAGTTAGCTACCATTACCGTGTGCACTTTAACGATTGCACATTTATAGACACACCTATAAATGCCTGCGAACTTGGTGGGCAAGTTATGAGAGGAAACTGGGAAACAGCTTCCTAGAAACGTGGTACGAAGAGAGAATTAAAGTTTTACACTGCTAGCTTTCAATTATTTTTCTCCCTTATTCCGCCATTCCATCCCTCGCTCTATTTCTCTCCTCCCTGCTCGGCATGTCTCTCCGTCTTTCTATCTGTAGTCTATCTCCATCTCCCCTTTCTCCCCTTCTCTCTCAGTCGCGCTCACTCTCTCTCGCTCTCTGTTGCGCGTTCACAATACTAACCTTGGCTCGACGTCAGAGCCTGTGCAGCAGTGCAGTATAATGGGAGCGCAAGGAACCCAGAGCGCCTCATAGGGGGGTGCATATCGCTGCTGTATCCTCTGCTTGGCGCTGTCTAGCTCCTTTCCAACCCACTCCAGTTCCTCACCTATAGCCCATGCTTGGGCTCCCTCCTCCCCACTGGATCCGTACCCTTCGACATGGATGTCCCGCCGTCCCGCGACCCCGAGGATTGCTGTTTCTTGGCGCAGTGAAGAAGGAAGAGGAGAACGGGAAGGGGAAGGAATCATGCCGGGACTGCTAATGGATTTAGGGAAAGCGCAAGTGACCATGCCGTGATCTTGCGCATCCAGGGCCGCCGTTACCCTGCCTTGCCCAACAACCGTAGAAGAATTACGAGGGAATCGAACCCGCGCACCGAGGGGAATAACCACTGTGCATTTTTTTAAAACAACATGAAGATTACCTCCCATCATCTGATGATAACCAGTCTTGCTTTCAGGTCCAACCTCAGGCTGATCCCGCTTCTGCTGCTGTTTCTTGGTTACTCTCGCGGGATGCCACACGTTTTAAGATTTGGTAAGTAATCTGTTTATAACAATGTATCATCGACGTTACGATGTCTAATCACAACAACTACTCATAAGATTGGCCACAGCGGCACGACACATTGGCGGGATGCAGGCTGTGGAGATATTTTTGTCCCACTTTTGTCACGTTTTCCGTTAAGAGTTTGCAAATAATATCGTCTGCACTTTTAAAATAGCGTTTAGCGCGGCGAATATTTCATAGTGTGCCTTTATAATGTCACTGTATTTCGTAACAGTGTCTTCGTGGGGTTTTACTTAGTGCTTCATACGATCAGCGACGAATGACGCTTTCCAGTGAACTTGAAATCACCGTTACAGTAACTCTGGACGCTTAAAGGCAGGAGTAGTCTATGCAACAGTTCACGGCTATGAAGCTCACCACCAGAGCCGCCGCTTAAATCTCCTCACCCTGCATCCTGAATCATCCCGTAGGTCTTTTAAACTGCTGACTCTCCAGCACATCCTCTGCAGTGAATGTTTACATGTAACCATTAGCTTGCTTTCCGAGAGTGGATCAATTATTGATCTGTGAAAAGTGTCGATCAATGCGCCGGGCAACGGGCTACTTTATATCCGAAATCAGAGCGAAGAGCTTCCCATCAGGGAATTCCCATGATTTTGCTTAATTCACACGGTTGTTGCCGTTTAAACAGATACTTGCTTGTTTCCAGTGCTCACTGGATGTGCCCTTACCCAACACTGTGTCTCAGATTAGCTGTGTAATTCGGTAGTCTAAAAGTTGAGGCACTCCTTTAAAAAATATCCTGGTGAGTTAATTAGACACTTTAAAAGGATTAAAGAAGTAATTCTTCAACACTTGCCACTACGGCGAATTTTCCCCGGTACATAACTTCAAAACAGTGCCATTAACGCCCGTGTTCCTGTCTGAAAGTCACTAAATCGCAGCCTCCCGTGGCTTCCTCTGATGCTTAATTAGATCCGTCTCAGGGTGGCTCTTTCTGCCGCTCTCTGTTGCATTTACAGAGAACATCTTGGAGTGACAGGGGAGCCGCCACGATAGCGGATGTCATCAAGTGTTGACAACACATCCTTACAATCCCCAGTTCTCCTGAGGGTCCTGTTTAAGAGTCAGGCCGCGTCCGCAAGAGCCGCCGCTATGGCAACGGGATGTGCTTGTCTTCCTGCTTCTTCCTCAGCAAGACGCGCGATTTCCCGTCTCGCGTGTTCCCTGACAGACGCCGGGCGTCTATTCAGTAATCCTCGGAGGACGGTAAAGTCCTTGCACTGGCTAATAGCAAAGTTTTCAAGGCGGCAAATGATATCGAACATTCCCAAGAGACAAAATCCAGATATCATTCTGACCATGGTTACCGCTTTATGCATATTTATTGTTCGTGTGTGCGTGTTTTATCAGTGCAAAGGTTAGACGTGTACCTCCCCATACCAAAGATGTCGCCTGTGCTAACAAGCTGGATCTGTAAGGCATCTGGTATCAGCAAGACAGACAGAACCATGTAAGATAAGAGGTGTTTCGTGTCACTGAGATCTTTTGCCCTGGGTGAACCCATGCTTGATATTTTCTCCTTCTTCTGGTGGAAGTGACAGTCGGAGCGCCTGGCACGCGTCTACGACCCGGGGCTCTGTCCGTGGTCCTGAACAAGCGCTTGTTTAGTCGCACGGACTTGGCAGCACGGCCGCCTGTTGCTGAACAACTCTTCCTTTTCACAACACACTGATACACCTTCTATAAACGACTTAGTCTTTGTTTTTTGTTTTTTGTTTGTTTTTTTATGCACTATAATATCTGTCATTCAAGCGCCACACACGCTCTATTGTAAAATGGCTCCATTTTCTGCACTGTAATTCATTCTCCTTAGAAAAATAAGTTCATGTGTCTGTATTTGCTTCTGAAAGAGCCGAGTTTCCTAAAGAGAAATGTAGTTAAAATAGAGATTTATGTATCAGCTTATATAAAAAATAACACAACATGTCAGTCATGCATGCACACGGGAGAATTACAAATCCCTTTAAAGACATTAGAGTCCATCCAGTACATTTCTTGTCCTGGAGGATGTGCTTACTCAGCAGATAATCCCAGCTGCTCCTGCAGAAGGCTGGCTAAATGAGGAGGTCAGCTCCCCTGGGTCCGTCTGTTCCTTTCCTGCCCCAAGATCCCTTTTGCCCAGACAGGCGGCTCACATTGTAAAAACCACTGTTCTCCTGTCAGGCTGAGACCTCTACACAAAGACACACTGTAACACTACGGCATAGTCAACCTTTTGCATTCATAGCTCCAGTCTCACCATGTAGAGCGACAAGTGTCGGAGGAGAAAGGAAAAAAAAAACAGTGTTCAGGCCACCAGCTGCAGGCAAATATGCTGAGCCCATTCCCATACTGAGTTGAGTTATTATGTTCAGTGTTCCTCATTTATAAATCTTACAGGTAATTTATTTAGTTAGATGCAGAAAATAGAGCCAGCCCATACAAGTTGTAATAAAAAACCTCTTGAGAAAAGATTCTCTCTTCATTACTACTTCACATTTGCCTTCTGGGAGCACTGAATTACACTTTTTTTTAGCTACTGATGTTGCTAAGGGTCTTTGGGATAGAGAACAAAATGTTTCTGTCGTTTAATTTTCTTTTCCCACCCTTACAATGAAGGCTGCACACATAAATATGCAAAATGCCCGTTTTGAATATAATCTGAAACACAACTGCTTAAAATCCATAAAATTCCAATTGTGTAGAAACATCTGAACTAGCTTCCTGAAATAATTAAATAGCTTAGTGTCAGACGCTTCTAAAGCTCAGTTTTTCTCACTCACAGATGGCCTGTTAAAATTCAGTGAAGTGGAAATTCAATGTTTTCTTTCAAATCTGTCCCATAACCTGAAGGATCTCATTTTATTTTTTTATTTTTTCCATGCAAATAACATTTTGTGCATGATCCTATTTAGCTGCCCCCAAATGTTCTGTCACACAAGCAGTGAGTCATCACATCTGCTATTCCAACCCAGATGACTTTGACTTACAGACCCGCATGTTACTCTAAAAATAAAGAAATTCAGTTGGAGAAATATCAACAGTGAAACTGAGACCGCCTTTTAATTCTGATGTCCGTAGTCGGTCTGTGACTGTGAGGTTGAGTGATAACCTTATCACTGCCATTTGGAAGCAGCGCTGGCAGATGCAGTGTGTCCCTGGGCTGTCAACTCCTGCTGAAAGCATTGTTGACTCAGAGATACTCATTTCATTTGTTTATTTCCTGCTTATACTTATATTTCCCCAGTACAGACGTGTGGGAATATTTATGACTAAAACACAACATTCTTTTTCATTTTGGAAAGGAAATCAAGCTTTTTTTTCTCAGTCCACTGGCAAAAGACACAATCCCCTCGGGTAGAAGAGAAGTTTATCTAACTCCTTCCACAATGCTGTGCCAGAATATAGGCTCTCTTTTGGGTGTCTAATATTTAAACCGCTTTATCCCCTCGTGGTGGTAAAATTAGAAGGTTGTTGAAAACGAGCAAGGATAGAGGGAACACATTCAATGGGAGTTTGTGGTTAATTGACTTTATTTGCTTTTGCTTTCTGCCAGCCTGAATTATCAGCATGCTGGAGTTTAGTTTAGGATTGCAGGAATTATGGCTAACACCCTGTGCCCTGGCCCACTGCCAGCATGTTCACAGCAAACATATTTAAAATGGGCACAAAGCTGCTTAAAATATTCACGTGTCACTTGACCCAATCAAAGCTTATAGAAATATGAAACTATCTCTGCTCGCAAATGATTTCCATGGTATAAAAATACCCACCGTGGGTTTCAAGAACAAAGAGGAGATCTGTCTTACATTAGCATGCAGCACCACACATGGGCTTGAAGCAGAGAACTATCTAGATGGATTTCTAAAACATGTTTACAGTCCAGAGTCTTTGAAGGTCTTGCTGTCATGCCTCAGTTACAAAAGGCTCAATGGTGATTAATTCAGGGTACATATTTCTTGCCATTTTGAAATGGCAAATATCTTTGAGGTATGAAATTAGGTTTTTTTTTCTTAGCATTAAGTCTTTTTCTTTTCTTTTTTTCTTTTCTTTTTTTTTTTTTGAGGTTTACCAGCAACTTTTGAAAAGATTATTTACATTGAAGGAGGCTTTAGCTGATTGACCTTGTTTGCAATGTAATCCTTTCTTGCATAACAGACTCTTTTAACACAGTCTGCTTTTATTTATTTATTTTTTTGTTGAAAATCAAACAGAATAAATCTGAGACCTGTGCTCCTTTACTTCCCAGCGCAAGGCTTGCCTTATGTATCGGCTTTCATTATTCACAGTCTGTCACTCTTTGTCGTTGTCACTCAGGGATTTTGCCGGGTATCAAAAGGGTTAGAGGTTATATGTGCAATTGCTCTGTGAAACTGTCCCTTGAGAAGAGCCTACAGCACGTCTTGCTGCGTTGCTGCTGTGGCTCGGAGCCGACTGAAGGTCGGAGCTGAAAGCACTCACAGGGAATAATTTTTTTCTTTTCCTTTTTTCTTTTGCATCTTTTAATACATGTGGGACTGTCCTTCTCGCTATCTCACCAAGGGAGCTGGAAGTAAATTTGAAGTCACTGAGAGGTGTAAGAAAAACAAGAGTGTTTGTTAGAGAGGAAAAGAGAGAGAAAGAGAGAGTCTGTGTAAAGTGTGAGTGAGATGAAAAAACAGTGAGTGTTGAGGCGTATACAGAGTAAAGATAGATTAGTTTGCCTCAGAGCGGTCCACTCTCAGCCCACTCTCAGTTGTGGTCTTTTATTACGGTTTTTTGATGGCTTCTATGAAGAGAGACGGAAAGGACAGTAGAGTATGTGGAAATGTAGTGGGAGGCCAGGAGTCATGCACTGCATCTCTGAATAAATGTCAGCAGTATCATATTAGCAAGTTGAAAATTTGCCTGGGACTGCAGATATGCATGAAATAGCTTTTATAGGAGTGAAAAACTGAAAATAGGTTGGTAACACAAATGTCCTTGTAGTTCCTTAGAAGAACTAA